TCTTATGAACCGAACCTTCTTTCATGAAGCCAGCGCAGGTCGTGTGGCAGAACTGGAATTGCAGGCCTGCACCACCATGCCCGGCTCTTTCCTTTCTATTTTATGAAATAATTTGAGGAAGATTCACATTAGTTCTTTATAAAGGTCTGATTTAAAACTGAACTTAGAATCCATCTGGTCCTGGGCTTTCCTTTTCCTTAAAAGACTTATGAGGAAGTCTTTTAAGGAAAAGACTTTGATATCATTGTTTGATGTTGGAAACCAGGAGGTTTCCTATATCCTCATGGTTTAATGTAGGTAGGTCATATGTGTTTAGAAATTTGTCAATATCTTTTATATTTTCCAATTTATTGGAATATACAATTTCAAAATAGTTCCCAATGATTTTCTAGATTTCAGAAATGTCAGGTGATGACTCTTTTTCATCTCTGATTTTGTTGATTTGCATTTTCTGTCTTTTGGTTAGTTTGACTAAGGTTTTTATCAATCTCATTTATCTTTTCAAAGGACCAACTCTGTTACATTGATTCTTGTATTTTTTATTCTCAATTTTATTAATTTAGGCTGTGATCTCAATTATTTCCTGTCTTCTACTAATTTTGGAATCAGTTTGTTCTTGCTTTTCTAGGGTATTGAGGCATAATATTAAATTGTTTATTTAAGATATTTCTGTGGATTTTTAAAAATGCAGATAATGATACAAACTTACCTCTTAGAGTTGCCTTATTACTACCCCAGAGATTTTGATATATTGTATCTCTGTTCTGTTTCTTTCTAAGAGTTTTTGAAATTTTCTCCTGATTTCTTGTATGCCCCATTTCTCATTCAAAAGTATATTATTAAATCTCCATGTATTAAAATGTTTTCTGATTTTTACATTGTTATTGATTTCCAATTTTATTCCATTATGATCTGATATGATGCAAGGAATTATCTCTATTTTTTGTATTTTCTAAGACTTACATTGTGTCCTAAAATATGGTCCACTTTAGAGAAAGTTGCATGTGCAGCTGAAAAGAAAATGAATTTGGTTGTGGATGGGTGAAATATGCTATAGAAGGCTATTAGGTCCATTTGATTAATTGTATTTTGTTGTTATTTTTTTCTTTTCTGAAGAATCTTTACTTAGTTTATGTCTGGAAGATCTACCGGTGAGAGAAGTGTGTGGAATCTCCCAGTATTACTATATCCTACTCCACTTACGTAGAGTAGGATTTGCTTTACATACGTAGATGCCCTAACATTTGGGTCATAAATATTCACAATCATTACATCTTGTTGAATGATTCCCTTAACCAGTATGAAATGACCCGGTTGTATGTTGTGATTAATTATGGACTGAAATATTTTTGCCAGATGTGAAAGTAGAGATTCGTACTTACTTACTCCATTTACATGGTATATATTTTTTTCTGTCCTCTCACCTTCAGTCTGTAGATGTCCCTCCTATAAGGTGACTTTCTTTGTAAACAGCATAGGAATGGGTCTTGTTTTTTTCTTAATCCATTCTGCCAATCTTTGACTTTTGATTGGTGAGTTTAGACCATTTATATTCAGTGTTATTATAGAGATGATTTTTATTTCTTTACATTTTGATTTATTCATAATATTATTTTAGACTTAATGGTTCTTTGATTGACTAGTCTTCTAGAGTGGGATTCATCCATAGGCTGGCTTTGATATTTATTTATTTTTGTGTCTTGTCAGTAAAATCTTTCACTGTTTCTTGAGTATGTTCTATAATAGTGGTTTAGTGGTTATGATTTCTTATCAAGGAAGTTTTTTTTTTTCTCATCTTAAATTCTAGAGGATAATTTTTCTGGATATAACAATCTTGGTTGGTAGCTGTTATCTTTCAGGGCTTGGTATATATTATTCCAATGCTTTTAGGGCCGGGGTTGAGACATCAGAAGGTAGTCTAATTGGCTTACCTCTAAATGTGACCTATTGTTTTTCTCTTGAAGCTTTTAAAATTTTTTTCTTGTTAGACATTATAATTATAATATGTTTTAGAGATGATTATTTTTTTATCTTGTATACTTGTATATCTTGTATTCTTGCAGTGGGATTTCCATCTCACTTGGAAATTTTTTTTCTGATGTTATTTCATAGAAAAGCTTGTTCATTCCTTTAGTTTGCATTTTGGTGCCTTCTCCTATGTCAATGACTCCTTGATTTTGTCTCAATGTTTTCCAAGACAAATATTGACAAATATTTGAATATTGTTATGGTATCTTATCATCTTTTATTTATTGTCAGTTTTATTTTCAAAACCATATACTTTGTCTTTGAGGTCTGAGAATCTGTCTTCAATGTGGTCTCATCTATTGGTAATGCTTTCAATTGAATTTTTAATTTGGTTTATTGAGTCTTTCATTTCCAGGAATTCTATTTTTTTCTTGAATTTCTATCTCTTTATTGAAATGATATTTTATTCCCTGTATTCTAAGTTCATTCCTTACATCTTCTTTTATCTCACTAAATGTGTTAGGTTTGAACTTTCTAAATTCTTTATCCAATATTTCCTCCACTATGATTGGATCAATTGTTGTGGGATGGATATCTGGGGTAGCTTGTTCCCTTGCTTTTTCATTTTTTTTTGTAAATATGTCAATGTGCTGGGATGATGATCTCTTCTACTTTCATGCAAGTGACTGTTCTTCAGTAAGCTTCTTTCTCTTAGGTGCCCCAGGTTGAGTGAATATTCAAGTATCGATACTCCCAAAGGATGCCCTTCCTGTGCCCAGTATCCAGCACCACTTTGTGACAAGATGCTACATCCTATTAACTGCAATCACTTTAGAACAAAGCAGTGTGCTGATAAACCTCAGAGTGGAAAAACTTGTTGAAAATGTTCTCCATTATTCCTCTAATCCAAGTATAAAATTGTAGTAATGTTTTTCAATAGGTTGAGAAATTAGTTATTAAATAGAGTAAAATTATTATTACACTATATAGGGGCTGAAAGGGGAGAAGAGAAGCAATGGGCAAAGAAGCAAAAGAAAGATAAAAGAAAATATTGAAAAAGTAATGGAATCTAAGATAAAAACAAGAAAAAAGTGGGAGTGTATTTGAGGCAGATGCAGGTAATGCTAGAGGGAAAAGAGCCCAAGAGGAGCAAGTGTAACCTGAGACAGGCAAGCAGAGAGGAAGGGTTATTCCAGTTAATTATTTAAAATATCAGCAGGAATACAACCAATTGGGTTGAGACCTGCAATATTGAATAACAAAGGAAGATCTATCAATTCAATACAAAAGGTCATAGCTGTGAGATCAAAACTGACATTAGAGCTATTTGATATTTTTTGCTGAGGTGGGAAGATTTCTTATGAGTTCCTGATCTGGATTTCATCAGGATTTGGACCTTCAGAAGATGCTCACTGCTCCTTGGCTTTTCCTCTAAGTTTTCCTGGGTAGAGGTAGTGAGCACAGCAGCTCACCTCTGATGTGATTCTAGAAGGCTCCTTTTGATCTTTGATGTGTCCAGGGACTCCTAGCTTTCTGGAGGGTCAGAGAGGTCCTAATTGTGACTGAGCAGCTGAGTTACTCCCTGTTTGAGGGTGCAGTCTTGGGTGCCTTCTAGTGAAAAACTCCATGTACCAGGGTGGTTAGATGCAGCAGGGGCTCCCTGTGTGCACTTCAGGGTGTGCAGGGTGTGGCAGCCTAAGGTAGAGGTGCTGTGGCCTGGTTGATGTGGCACTGAGTGGCCCTTGAGAGGTATGTGGCTGCGGCCCCTCTGGAGTGTGCAGGCTGCACACTGATCAGTGAGTGATATCTGTGGGGTGCTCCGCTGTAAGCCCTTGGTGGGCCGTACTCCTGCTATTGATGCAGGAAGTTCTTTGCTGGCTGCTTTGGGGTTGTCCTCAGGGACTTCCTTCTGTGGGCTATGCACCTGAGGGAGAGGTGATTGGACTGGACCCTGGGACTCACAGCTGTGGCCCCTCCAAGAGATGCCAGGCACAGGAACTACGTCCCTGGTTGCTATAGTTTTCTTTCTGTCCTTCCTCTCCCCCACCCCTGAACTGGAGATTAAATACAGTATCATCTGCCACTGAGCTACTCCCTGAGCCCTTTTAATTTTAAAAAAAATTGAGGCAGAGTCTTGCTCAGTTGCTGTTGCTGGCATCTGACTCGCTATACTCCTAAGTTGCAGGGAGGACAGGTGTGCCCTGCCATGCCTGACTCAGGTTGCTATGGTGTGCTCACCAGCTGGGGCTTGTTAGCCCAGAGGCCCAAGGCCTGTGTTTGGAGAGTGCTGCATCTGCTGGCTGTTTCTATGGGGTGTGGGGGTGCAGGGTGCAGGGCTCATGGCTGTCGCTGGCTGCTGGGGAGTGCTGAGCACCTGCTCCCCCTGCCAGGGCTTCTTGTAGTGGTGGTGTCTAATGGCTGGCCAGCTGGCTGCAACTGCGGGACCTGTGGGCGCAGCCTCTCTGGGTCTGTGGCACAGAAGCCTCCATGCTGGCTGCAGCTCTTGGGGTTTTTTTATGATCCCTGTGTCTGGGGTCCAGTGTCCATTGCCTGAAGATGGGGGAAACTGCATGATTTGGTCTCCTCTGGCTGGCTAAGGACTCTACAAAATGGCTCTACAGAATGGCTCCTGCCCAGCATGACTTTCAGTCCACAATTTGAACTAAGCCTTGAGATCTCCATCACTGTCTCCCAATTTGACTTGGTTTGCTTCTCTTTGTAGCTATGGATAAGGGAGTAACTGGGGCTTTCCCTCTTTGTCTTTCTCTCTTTGTTACCCCTGTCCTTGGCCCCACCCTGGTCAGGGTTCAGGGCCAAAAAATTCTGTTCTTATTTTCTGCCCCAGTAACCAAACTTCAGGTGCCCCCAAGTCTCTAGCTGTCCAAGCTTGAGTTTAGAGCCCCGACAATTATCTACCTCTGCAGCCAGCCCTGCTTGCATGGCTTAGCAGGGGTTGGGGCTGCTGCTTGGATCCGGTGTGCCGTCTTCTCCAGAATAATTCTTACTATTTTTGTTTCATTTTGTCTTAATAGGGTACATTGTTTGAAAGCATAGGACTTATGCGGTGCGAAGAATGGTTTTTCACAATAATGAGACTGGATGTTACAAAACCAATTTCAGATGAAAACGTTACGGTCCTCGACACAGCCTTTGGAGACATTCCGGTACGCCTGTACTTGCCAAAAAGGAAGTTGGAAAAGCAGAGACCAGCGGTGATTTTTCTCCACGGTGGTGCCTTTGTCTTGGGAACTTGCAGTGAGTGCATTTTATTTATATGGCTGTGGGTTGGGCTTAGTGTAAACTGTGTGTTCATATTAAACTATGTTGTGTCTATATGTAGGATTGACAGAACATTTGTTTATGCAGCATTTATTTTTGGGACTATGTGAATGCATTTTACAGAGACATTGTGGACTATATCAGTTATGGTTCACTCACACTTCTTCATACACAGTGTGGCAAATAAAATAATAAAAATCATTAGATGAGATTTGGGCTTTATAAACTTTATCATCAAATATACTTCCATTGATAGCCGGGAATGGGAAGTTCAAACAGCCACCTTGAGTATTAAATTACAAATTAGCAAAGGACCTGAATTCACTCTCAGAAAAACTCAGGTGAATCCAGAGTCAGGTCAAATCAGAAATGACACAACTAGTGGCTACTGAGCAGTGGACACAGGGTTCAGGTCAGAGGCTCCCAGGCACCAGTGGTGTGGAAGCTCAGAATCTAACATCTGATTTGGCCACAAAATGAAAAGATGAAGTAGAAGTGAATAATCAGCTCTTCTCTTAAAACCTGTGTACCCATCTAAATTTGGAGATAATTCCAAGGAATGCTGTGGAGTTGCCAACACACACATACACACACACACACAAACACACACACATGTTTAGACCATTGATGAATGTTAGGAGGTCACTGCGTGTCACAGGGTACAAGGGTGTTATACTATATACCTAGAAGATGTCAGAAACCAGGAAAAATACTCGTGTCCCCAGAGAAATTGCAGCCTAACTATTATATCCAGAAGTTTGGCTTCGTTTTCTGTCTATATTTCAAAATATGCAAGAAAGCTACTGTATTCAGATGGGTGGCCCATGACCGCAAGGTAAGCCCGTCCTGGGGTCAGGTATTGTGATCAGAGTTTCAGACGTGAGGAAACAGACACAGAGGTTAAGTGGTTTTCTGAGTCCTCCTGTCAGTGGTGGGGGCAGTCACCAGGCCCAGGCCCTACGGCAGGTCCACAGGCATGGCATGGGGTGTCACTGCTGGTGGGTAGTGTCTCTCACATGCTGTTACCCCTTTGCCCCCAGGACCTCTGAGCTCTCAACACTATCCAGGTCTCCCGGGTCCTTCCCTATCAGCTCTCAAGGTGTGAGTCCACAAGTCGGTGCCCATCACTTCACCTCTGCCCATCTCACGTTATCAGCACCATAGCCATCAGTAATCCACTTCTTTTTGATGACTTAGGAAAAGGCTTTTTTTTTTTTTTTAATCTTTTGGCAAACTTTGATCTTCTACTTGGTTTGGGACCCTGTTCTCTCCAACTTCGGGATTGGATTTTATCAACACTTCTCCTTCATTCTCCTACCTGACAGTGTGTGCTTTGGTGGACCCCGCCACCTGGCCATCTCTCCCCCCCGTCCTTCCTGGACCCCGGTCACTGCCTACCACTCATCCTGTTCTCGGGCTCCTGGGCATACACTGCAGGTCTGTCTATGCCTCTGTGATGAGTTCTTCAAGCTGTCATTGGAAAATGGCCACTGCCCCCTGCCCCACTGTAGGGCTCTCTACTCCTTTGGTCCCTCAACAGAATTCCCTTCCTTACCTCCACCTCCTTCTCCCTCTGTCAAACACGTGGGTTCTTTCTTTGCCCTGTGTAGTGCCCATGCTCCCCAGGATTCCTCTGTCTCAGGTTTGACTCTGCTTTCATGTGGTCCTCCACACTGTCCTCCTGTCCCTGCCCCCACCCCCACTCCTGATACTGAGTTTTGGCTCCGCATCTTCACCTATGTCCCCAGAGAACCTGCGGCCTAACTATTATATCCTGACATCAGTAAATTCAACTGCTGACCAGGCCGAGGCACCTAAGAAGCCATAGATCAGCCATCCTCAGCAGGAGCTTGCGGTCAACCCAGGGTGAGAAACACTTAAACTGGGTTAATGTAACATGAACTCAAGCATAACAGAAATGGTCATCTCATCGTTACCTTCCAAGAATTTCAGAAAACCAATAAATAACAACGACCCTGAAGCCCCCAGAAAACCACCACCAACGAAACCCAGATTCCTTAGCTCATGTGGGTCCACGCACGGCTAGGAGCCCGGTCACACTCTGTCCCTCAGCTCCAAGTCCAGTCACCGGCTCTGTCCACACTGCTCTCTAGATTTCTTCTCTTTTTCTGTCAAAACCAAAAGACGTAATTCATCATTCAGATTTCTTCCTGTTGCTTTTTCTCTGCTGGTTCACCCTCGTTGTTAAACTGTGTCACCTTCCTCAGGATTAAACCTTTGTAATATGGGAAGCTGACCATGGAAATTATTATTGAACTTTGATAATATCCACCACTTGTTGACAAAGAAATCTTAAGTGCACCATCCAAACTTGGACAGCTGTACGCTCATTTCCCTGGGGTGCCTTACTTCCTACCCTCTTCCTCTCTAGACTTTATTTTGACTGTACTCACTGCATTTGCTCCCCTGAACTCTGGGTTCTCAGGAACCTTTGCCTCTGAATCCACTTTTTCCCACCATGAATACATTTTTCTTTCCCATTTGATAGCAGTTATCACATCTTTGCCTTTTACACAGTGAACGCCCAGTTAGTGCCTTTTGAATGAGTTAATTCATACTGAGTCAGTGTTTGACACTGATTTCTAGTAGGATTTTATCTCCAGATTTTACCCAACCTCAATCTTTCCATTCCTTTAAGTACACAGTAATTAGATTTATTCCATAATTAATCATCATAAGAATTAGAATAGCAAGTATATCCTATCAGTTGATTTAGATTAAAATTTAAATGATCACTTCTACCCAGAAAGATAACTTAAAATTTATTTACAAGATAATCAAATATGAATGTGTTCATGTAAGTGTCAGATAATTTGATAAAGGAAAAGTCTCACTTTTCTTTAATTGCCCTGAGAAGTGTACCTGGAATTAGGTAAACTACTGTTCCTTTATTGAAAAGGAAAAGGATACTGACTAGCAGTTCCTGAAAAAAAAAATGAGCTATGATTGAACCTCCCAACCCATGAAAACCTTCATGCTGGATCTAATGTTATCTTCAAGTTATTCCGAGAGTTCTGGCTGATTCCTGTCAGAGTTTCAGGGACACCACGGTCATGAGCGTGCCAGTTATAGATCAAGGCACACGCTTTCTTCTTCTCCTTCAAGTACTGAGAAAGCCAAGAGTCAACCTTGGGACGGTCCAACAGCGTGTCTATTACTGATGTGTCCTTAGCTCTGTTAATGGATGCCTTTGAGTTAGATATCCACCCTCTCCTGGCAGTTTCCTGATGACACTGGGCAGAACGCAGCAGGCATGATAGACCTGGGCATCCTTGGTGAATGGCACCCCTTGACGAGTGTATCACAGAGAACCTGGAAGAAGGGTCCTGACAGAAGGCACCTGAGCCAAGGGCCGTGTCCAGTTTCCTCCTTCATGGTGAACAGTCTGGTGTCCTCTGGGACTTGCTCAGGGATGTCTGAGGAGTTGAGGATGAGGAGGGTTTTGATTCCAGACAGTGTCCCTCCACATGGCAGCAGATGTGGGACCGTCCTCCATCCCCTGCTCCTGGCCTGTGTTTCCACACTTCCCAAGACAGGGAGGTGACCACTGCTCTTGTTCACAGGTTGCCCATTTGAATTTCTTCCTTTTCAGAGCTGTCGGCTTATGACTCCACGAACAGACGGACGGCTAACAAACTCGGTGCTGTTGTCGTCGGAGCAGAGTAAGAGCGATTGTTCTCCCCAGCACAGGCCTCGCCTCACAGCACAGTGTCCTATCCAGGGCCAGCCCCTCAGGCCTCAGGAGTGGCTGGTCTGGGCTTGGGGTTTACATAGATTTTTATGAACAATATAATATCCAGGCCTCCTTGCAGGCTTAGTTCCACTTCACTGTGCCCTTGAGGGACCTCTGAGGGGCACCCCAGGAGAGCATCTTTGCCAGCACAGCTGTGACAACCCCTGGGAATATAAAACTCAGGTTCTAGGATGACCCAGTTTAATCCCCAGGTCAGAGACTTGGGAAGGGAACTTAGTTTCCTGTTTCCCATTTGGGAGTTTTTTGAGCTGATAAAAAAAGACCTGAAGTTTAAAGATGTTCCTGGTTGGAGGAGCCTTAGGTGGGGAATGCTGGGACCCTGAGAGTCTCAAGCATGCTCCAAATGAGGGTGCTTAGCACCCCACGACTTTCCCCGCAGTTCCAGACATGTTCCAGAAAGGCCAGCAAATGCCGGTCACTTTCTGACCCACGCTGTCTTCTGAAATCCTGATCTGAGGAGGAGGAACTTTTCCATCTCTACTGCCCATTTCATAGTGCAACATAGAGGTGCCTGCCTGATGGGAAGGACACAGTGGGGTTTCCTGGCTCCCTGGGGGTCTGAGGGGGTCAGTTGGAAGGTTCTAGTGGAATCAGTGCTGAAGCACTCATCACTACTGCCCTGTAGCAATCAGAAGATCCCTGTGTGTTCAGAGCTATTTCTAATTTACAACAGCAAGAAGAATATTCTCCCTTTCCTTCTATAATTTTAAACTAAAAGACCACTTTATCATTTTAAATAAACACTTCAAATGGTGATAGATGTTGATTCTGGTTTAAGAATTCTATCAGTGACTGATGGTATTTGCTGTTCTTTACCCTGAAGAACACTGAGTGTAGCAGCTACATTTTTGATATGTTACTTTTTAAGATTACACTATAATTAGGGTATTTTGGACACAGATCATAATATAACAAAATTGCCAGGGCCATCTGGCCAATACTAAGTGTTCAGCATGGCATGCAAATAATTCACCAATTCTTGTAAATATTAAGATTACTACTATAGTTTGAAATAGAAAATAAATTCCAATTCTATTATGCTCCTGTAATAGAAGACAGTGTGTGGCAGACACCTACGTGTTAAAACGTGCTGTCATAATTGGTCTTCCAAATGAACTCAAGATGACCAAGCACCATCCCTTGCCATACTTCTTTTATATTTGATTTTGAATCAAGTTTTCGCACAGTGTTCATGGTATGAAATGGGTCGTACTAATTTGACCTAAACAAATTTCTAATGCCTGACGCTGACAGATCATTTATTTTAATGGTTTCTGTTTTTTTGTTTTTTTTAAATCTCTACACGTTCCTATCAGTGGTTCTAAAAATTTTTGAGTTGTCAACTACACTGAGAAAGTGACGGAAGCCAGAGCGTGTCTCCATGAAACCCACACACGGAAGATTCACTGCTGAGAGCTCACATGTGACAGTGTGGGGTGGAGACCAGGACCTCTCCACCCCTCCCAGTGGGACCAGCAGTTCAGAGCCCCCATCCCAAAATCTGCTCTTATTTTAAGCAGGAGTTAGAAGCAAGCCCAGGCCTGGGTGGTGAGATTGACGGTCCACAACGGGGCCCAACTTGACTGGCCCTGTGGGTCCCGTGGAGATGCCTGGACACACTGCCGAGAACAGAGTCTAACCACGGGGTGTCTTGTTACCTTGGTTCCCCCTCTGCAGCTACAGACTAGCTCCTCAGTACCAGTTCCCAGTTTCCCTGGAAGACTCCATTTTTGTGGTCAAGTTCTTTCTTCAAGATGACATTCTTGCAAAATATGGAGTGGATCCCACCCGAATCTGTATTTCAGGAGACAGTTCTGGGGGTGTGTTGGCAACAAAAGTGACTGAGCTGGTAAGTCTTCCATGTCATGCATGTTCCTAGCACACGTGCCATGAGCACCACCCAAGAGAACCTGTCATTTCAGCTGCAATCTCTGTGAAATGTTAAAATACACACCCCAGACTACTTTCTGTCCTTTTCACATGATTGTATCTTCAGATAGATAAAACTTTAAAGACATCAAGAGGATGAAATATAATGCTGTATAAGGCTCTATTTTTATCACTAATTTTAGGGGGAAAAACCCAATAATGTCTAGGAACTACCATGTGACATGATAGGGAGTTTGTTTTTCTCCCTACGTAAATTGTAAAGTTTGCCAGGAATTTGGGATGATGGTAATTGGCATGTTAAGCCCTGTAGGGTGTCATGACATAACGTTAGGCTATGTGTCATGCTCATACAAAAGCATGACTACCAAGACAGAAGAGGAACTGGCCCTCAGATTAAGCCCTGTCTGTGTGCAGCTGAACAATAACCGACACTAGGTAATATATCTGAAAAGTAAACTCCATTCAACACACAATCTCAACCTCAAAACCATTTTTTAATGGAACAAAGTTAGTATAGCAGAAACCTTTTAGTATACACCCTTTAAATGAAAATGAAATACAATAAAGCCACCATGAGCCACCATGACCTCTTGGCCTCTTGTTAGGGTGGCCAGAGGAAAACGCACCTAATTCTGCTCCTCTGCCCCATCTCAGAGCCCCTCTGCCTCCTTAGTTTCAGAGACCCAGGTAGCTTCAAGCAGTTGAGGTGCATGAGATTTGGGCCGTGGGCTAAAAGTGTCCTTGCCTGCATCTGGAAACCCTCAGCAGCAGAAGAGCTTCCAATAACTGGGAGAAGGCAGACGATTCCTGGGAGAACCCGGCCCCAGTGAGCCGTGAGGAGGGCGGGTCAAGGGGTGAGACACTTGGGAAGTTATCCCCAGGTCCCGAAGCTGTGTGCGGGAACTCTGCATGCAACACTTTTGGTGATTTTAGCTTTTTGAAGATTATTTCTAGAGCACCATGAGTGTATGTCACCTTTGTCTAGGAAGGTCATTTCATGTGTTTAGAAACCTTCCCCTCCTATTACTAAGCCACTATAAAACTCTCAGTAACATAAATCCTTAATACCAGCCCTCAACGGTGCTTGCCACACAACCTTGAAGCCAGCTCCACAGGGGACAACACGTCTTTAGTAAAGTGTTCAGAAACCTGCCGTGTGATGGGTACCTAAGTCATATGGCCATCAAGCGACACGGCCAGAGGCTGATCAGAGCCGGTTCAGCAGGGGAGCAACCCTGAGCTGCGCAGGGTCCGCGCTGTGACTGAGTTGGGGGATAGTTTCTAGACAAGAAGGACCTGTCCTGAAACAGCATCAGCCCTTTCTATCCAGAGTGACTAAAAGGTCCCATAGAGACAAGGACAATTGCAGTTTTGCACTAAGGGCAGAGGGGTTTAGGATGTGCCCTATCTAGTCTCCTTTGACTTTGTGTGTAATAACACTGCTGCCTAGCAGATCCTTCCCTTGCACTCAGGTCCTTATTGGTTGCCCAAGAGGTGACACTGCATGACTACTGTGTTTCCAGGGCTCTCCATGCCTCCTAGGTTCCATGCCCTTTAGTACCTCTGTTGCTTTGATCCCTAGCCTTCTGGTTGGTTCCTCCTCTTGGACAGGGAGTCTAAGCCAGCTTCTTCAATAGCCAAGGGTTATTGCAGGAGCCTGCTTGTCACATGCCTGATACTGTTTTCCGGATACTTTTTTTCTGATCACAAAGATGATAATGCTATTATCTTATTTGAAGAATAGAAGGATGAATAATTAAATTAATTCATTCATCCTTTCATTTTTCTCATTGCTATATATACATTGTATATATAAAATATGTCTTCTACATATTATATATATACAATCCCACAAAAACATGTAGTTTATAGGCTATATGACACCAATAAATATAAAAAAGCCAGGCACAGCGGCACATGCCTGTAATCCCAGTGGCTTGGGAGGCTGAGGCAGGAGAATAACAAGTTCAAAGTCAGCCTCAGCAACTTATTGAGGCCCGAAGCAACTTAGCGAGACCCTGTCTCCAAATAAAAAATAAATAAAAAATTAGGACCGGGGACGTGGATCAGTTGCTAAAGGGTCCTGGATTCAATCCCTATCAACTTCCCCCCATAAAAATAAATAAATCTATAAATTTTAAAAAATAGAATATAAATAAATATATAATATAAAATAAATATATTCATGTTTCCATATAGATAATGGTAAAAATGGAAGGATGATGAATAGATAGGAAGATAGAAAAAGACCACAGATAGAAAGGTACACAGATATGAGGACGGCTCAGATAGTGTCAGGAATAAAGGAATTAAATATCTAGTGGAAAGAATAAAGAGGGTATCCATCCACCCAGCTGCAGAAGCTGGGGGGTAGCTGGGGCATTTGCTCCTGGGAGGCTGATCGTAGGTCCTCTCCCATAGGGCTAGGAAGGAAGAGGAAGCCACTTCTCAGCTGAGACCTCAGGAAAGAGCAGCCATGCACATTGAGTCCCACATCTTTTCCCAAACTTCAAATTGGCATAACTTACTCTCTTTCCATCACATGGCAGGATCTTTGTCCTGAAAGCGGATTGCATACAGGACTATCCTTTCCTCTGATATATTTCCTTTTGAATTAACATGTGAGTCTCGCCATTAGTATTTTATCATTATACTTATTCTTTCTTTTCATTTAGCATAATTTAGTGAAAAAAGGTTTTTAAACATAGATATCCTGTCATCTTCTCTAAGAATCTCATAATTGCATTTATAGTTGGTGGTCATGTGTGAACATGCATGTGATTCTGTGTATGGTTTCTTTACTGATAAAACGGAAATGGCAACTTTTTATCCTCCAAAATTGGGTGTGAATGTTATCAGAATAATATTTCTAACCATAATTTACAATTTGTTTCATGAATTTATTTGCCTCCTGCTCCTGCAGTTTGAAAGTCTTTGATTCATTAATATTTTATTATTATTTTTCCAGCTGCAGAATGATCCAGAATTCAAAAATAAAATTAAGGCACAAGCCTTAATTTACCCTTGCTTACAGTTACTTGATATCTTCATGCCATCTCACCAGGAAAACAAACACGGGCCGATTCTGTCCAGGGACCTGGCAATTAAATTGGGCTCCCTGTATTTGACCAAAGATAAGGCTCTGCCCCAGGCAATGAGGGAAAACCAGCACATGCCTCGAGGGTCCAGGCATTTGTTTAAGTTTGTTAACTGGAGTGTCCTCCTTCCAGAGAAGTATAAAAAGAACCACGTGTACAAGGAGCCAGTTCTTGGAAAGCTTGACCCTTCATATCCACTTCTGATGGACAGCAGGGTGTCACCTCTGATAGCCAATGATTCTCAGCTGCAGAACCTGCCCTTGACCTACATCCTCACTTGTGAGCACGATATCCTGAGAGATGACGGGATCATCTATGTCACCCGGCTGCGCAAGGTCGGAGTTCAGGTCACTCACGACCACATAGAGGACGGATTCCATGGAGCCCTGTCGCTCATAATGTCACCGTTTCATTTACGTTTAGGCTATCGGATACAGGACAAGTATATTAGTTGGTTAGAAGAAAATCTGTAAGTCTGAACAGTGCACGGAGCTGGCGAGTCAGTGTTATGATTGAGGACTGTGGTGTGAAATATTGTGAGTTTAACAGACAGAAGGATGAGTTTGGGATAAACCTACATTGAAACTGGAAGAAAGGCTCTCATGTATCTTTCAGCCAATTGGTTAATTTTCCTAATCTTAGATCTTGATAAAGTGAAGACATTCACCTTATTATTCCCAGGAAATATCACTGACCCTGATAAGCTCTGAGGAAGGACCAGGAGCAGATGTTCAAACCCAGGCTGGCCGCTCCTGGGCACCCGTGAGGGTGCTAGTGGTGTGTGGAGGGAGCTTAAGGCAGAAGAATCCCAGTGGCCCTTGTGTAGAGAGGGACATACACTTGACTGCAGACGTTTTCTCCCCAAATTCGGTATTGTCCATGTATTAACTGTACAATAACCTGTTATTTTTTTCCCATTCATTTCATACAGTCTGCCTACTGCTAGGCTTTTTTGCTCAAAGCAGGAAAAGGTCAAAACCTGGGCTGTGGATCATCCCTACAGCCTAAATGGTTGAGCCTTAATCAAATTTTTTAGCAACTCGGACCCTGAAGTTCACTTCATGGATTGCTATGTGCAGTTAATGAGTCCAGAAACTTCCTTCACCAACTGTGCGTGGCAGTCGGAATTGTTTATTCCGTTCTTCTGAATTTCTGGAATGAATCCTTCAACCTCCCAGAGGCTTTGGAATTAGTAGGACATTTAAGCTTCAGACCCCTTTGCCTTCCAGTGATGCTGGGCCTCCCATGCCATCCTAAGCCAACTGCACGATACCATGCACGGCCACGAGGGGGCACGACGAGCATCACTGGAAGGCAAGGTCTGCTTACCGGCTGTCCCTGGGATGCTGCAGTTTGCGAGGTGGTGTTTCCTCTGTTCTGTGCCTTTTCTTAAGGATGAATAAAGTCGGTATTGTGTAAGTGTAACCATATCTTGTGAGTTTTATTGATAACACAATTCCAAAACACATTATTGTTTAAGAATTTTCGTTGGTGTTTTTTATTTGTAAATAACACTAGGATTTATTATTGCCATATTAGTACAGGCACATAAGAAAGTGTTGACTAGTAGGTTTTTTTGTTATGCTTCGTCACGTTATGTGAGCAGCTATGCAGCAACTCTGTTTGTTTCATTTCTGAAACAGAAGTGACATTGATTAGCTCACTTTGAACCAGAACTAGAAAATATCCGTTTGCCTGAATTAACTACTAGTTATGTGAATCATGTGAGCCGGTAGTGTGTGTTATCTGCTCACAGGAGTTCATAACTCAATTTCTGTTCTGTAAACTTCATCCACCAGGAAATCTGTAGGCAAACTGCAGCCTCTCTGCATATGCTGGCCTTTCAGTTCATTCACAAAACTCTGTTGAATGTTCTCTGTAATGGTTCAGTTTTCAAAAAACCCCAAGCTTGAAGAATGGGCGAGATCACTGAGGCACTTTCTAATTCATAAAGCAAACATTTTGAAGTAGATTCTTTAAACATTAAACATTCACAGAAAGTCAAAAGAAAAACAAGAATGCTGGAATTAAATATGAATTTTATTAGTTCAGTCACCACTCATATGATTGATCTTTCTGTTAGTGTATATAATTGAACATCAGTTATGTAACTATAGAGTTGTCAAATAGTCAAACAAACATTTAAATGTTGATAGTTACAGAGAAGTTTGTAAAGGTGTAAGATTAAAAAAATCTCGATGATTTCAAAAATAGAGGGAGTAGTCAATTCTTGAGATTTAAAGGGGTCATAAAGAACCTTTCACTGGAAAAAACGAAAACAAAAACAAAAAGCCTAGTAGAGTACTGAGCACTAAAATGGTTGAAAACTTGGTCAATGGCCTGTGTAAAAATGCACAGAAGCAGATAAGTTCATAGCCAATTTTATCTCATTTAAAATCGGTTTATACAAGTGTTCATGGAAGAATTTTGAGAAAGTTAGAAGGACAATACAATTTATTGTATGAATTCAGCATAAGTTACCAAGTTATAATAATGATTATAACAAAGTTCTACTATAAATACAGATGAAAAATTCTACATAAAATTTTATCAAAGAGAAATCAACAATAAGCTAAAAGAATGTCACTCTGTGACCAAGTAGGTTTTATTCCAGAAATTCCAGGGTGTCTTAATCAGGAAATACATCCAGACACTTAAAAACTAACAGAGAAAAGTTATATATATATATATATATATATATATATATATATATATAGAGAGAGAGAGAGAGAGAGAGAGAGAGAGAGAGAAGATATTTAATACAATCCATATTATTCCTAATTAAAATAAAACTTTAAGGAAAATAGATGGTGAAAACTTAAATAGGAAAAGTTTAATTGAAAATCTCCAACAGTAGGTATTTCAAAAATAATGAAACACTGAAAATTGCTAACTAAACTCAGGATGCCTAACACTATTAACTAACTAAAAGGATGCCCAGCATCATTACTATTTAGCCTGGACATGAGAGTTGTCATAAAAGTAGAAATACAAGGAAAACAATATTGTGTGCATACACTTGGAGATAATAATAAAACATTTCTTATTTGCTGACGGTATTGTTGTTTACCGGCTGTGGAGCTTAGCATACTTAGCATACTTAGCTAACAACAGACTATGGCAATGGAGTTTATTGCAAATTCAGTATTAAAAGATAGTATTTCTCTGCTCTTGTAATAGAAACGTAAAAATGGCATGAAAAAATTCTATTAGCAGAAGAAAAAATAAAGAGGCAAAACATTTAGGACAGGGCATAACTCATTTAAGGGAAATGTCTTCTTGGAAGATGAAAACTCTGAATAGAAAACATTAAATGTTTTCAGGTAGAAAAGATACTTTCATAAACCATTCCTTTCTCTTCAGATTAGCATAAATATAATCGAATTCAAGTCTAACCCATGGTATAGATATTTTTTTGTGTGTGTGTTGGATAAAACAATTTAAAAAGTACAGAAAAAAGAAAACTTCAAAAACATTTAGGAAAATAACCTGCAAACAGACAGTGAAGATGAGGTTGCTTTCCCAGAAAATAAAACCTACAATACAAGTCGGAAAACACCAAGCACAGTAAAGATCACACTATCCTCCAACTAGAGGACACATGAACATCGTGCTGGATTGTAGGGCAGCAGATCTCTGTAGAGCTGTTGGTGTGGACATATTCATAGTTTTTTCTGTGCACTAGTTTTTGACAATTTTTAATGCTGGTACAGACAGATGCACCAAAAAGAGTAGGTCTTTCAAGGACAGTGCAAGAGTCAACACAGAATGTCATTGTAAGCAGCATGTACCTCGGTCACTCTGAAGGCCCCTTCCTGAGCCTGGAGATGCAGCTGACTACCTTTGCCGGGCCTGGTGTTGAGGGAAGCAAATGTAGGGACCCAACAAAATTTCTGCTAAAATTTTTGAGTCACATGGGAGAAGAAGCTGATTTTGCATGTGACCTCATGTGCAGCAGGAGGCTACCTCTCAGGTAGATAGAAAGTGAATCTTTACATTAACTCATTAACCACCTCTCTCTCTCTCTCTTTTTTTTTTTTTTTTTTTGGTGATGGTGCATGGATATTGGTTCTAGGGCCTTTTGCATCCTAGGCAAGCACACCACTGCCAGGTAGATCCCGGGCCCCTTGCCAAGTGTATCTTCAAGAACTGGGTAAAGAAAGAATGGAATGGAATATGGTCCCAATGTCAAGAAGCCCCTAGATTACCATAGGCTTGGGTTGATGCACTTCCTTATGAAAAGAAAGATACACACTGAATATTATAAGATCACAACTGTGAAGTTTCTTTATAAATTGGATTTGACTACATATTAATACCTAACAGCTGATGAATAGTAAATTTTTGAAACTGTTTAATATTTTTTGAATTGTTCTAATATAAAATCATATAAACAAATCAGTGTTGGTTCTTTCCAGAACAAACAGGCAGTGAAACAGAACAGAGAATATAGAATCCCAGTGTACACGACCCATTGTGGGGAACATTGTGTGGGTTCAATTGATGTCTATGGGAAAGAAACCGAGTGGAACCCAATTTTATATGAATAATGAAAATAAATTAATAGCTATAAATGGTAGAAATAATAAACCAGGATTCAATTAAAAAATATTACAAGAAATGAGCTGGCCATCTGTTTGCCTTGCCCTCTGGTGAGAAGGTTGCAGGGTTCAGGTGTGGCCAACCATTGGTGTCCAGTGAAAGGCCCCTTCCTGGGAAGTCCTCATCTTCCAAGGGGCTTTAAGGACTCAGCACGAAGAGCCACATAGTGGTCTTGGCAGCATTTCTCCGGGGAGGTCGTATAGCAGTGTGATTTCAGTGAGCGTCTTCAGGCAAGACGGGAGCCTCACCTCTGCTTACCACTTCAGGACAGGTGGCCTCTGCAGAGGAAGAGACACAGTGGCCCAAGACAACACCGGCCAGTGGTGCTTTAAAACCACCTCTGTTCTTTCGATGCATGCTTTCACTTTTCCCTTTGTCCTGGGCCTTGATATCTCCAAATTGCTCCTGGCTTCTTCTGACTTCCAACAGCTCCTACGGGGAAACACCATGCTGGGGATCTAGTGAGGTTATTGATTTGTCAGCATTTCAATGCACTTTGGCAAGGAGAGACTGAAGGACGTGTTCTGGGTAACTCTAGGGTAAGCAGCACGCTCTCCCTCCTGGATCAGGTAGAACCATGACTCTGAGGAGGACAAGGTGACATCATCTGCCCCCTGCTGTTAGGAGTGTTCTGTGGTCCTTGCTGGGTTTCCTTTTAGGCTTATGCAGTGTTGAATCATCTCCTGTGTGTGGTAAACCACCTGTCCTCAGCCACCAGGGTGGACTGCAGGCATGGGACAGGAAATGCAGGGTAACTATACCCATTAGCTGGATCTCGTCACTGTGAGCCCCACTCCCTGATCACAGACTTTTTAAGCAACATCAGTGGCAAGCAATAAGAATCTCAGGAATTTCCAGATAACAAATTAAAAATCATCATATAGATGCTACTGGGATGGAAGGTTTGCTGGCTCTAATTTTAGAATGTATCAGACATGGAAATCTCTTTCTATATTCAAGTCATTGAAACATCCCACAGAATGAGCAATTGAAATGTCCATTTACAAGACACAGACTGTCCACATAAAGGAACTCTGGTTAAGAGATTCAGCTGTAGGTAAGGGGCAGTCTAGGCAATGTCCATAACGGTCATCAGCTATGCCGGACTATGCCAGCTTCCACTCTCTGAGTTAAAAGTGGGGGCACTGGGACAGCACAGCTGGCTGACTTTGCCACCTGGAAGTTATAGAAAGAAGAACAAATGGGTGGGAGGAACAGGGCCCAGATTCTTCTTTAAGTTCCTTAGGATTCTGCTGAAGGATGCCCAGAGCCAGCCCTTTACAAATCACGAGCTCTCTTGGTTTCTGAGGGCTCAGAGCGAAGGCTATTCTGAACATATTACCTGCTGACTTTTTTTCATGGTTGAAAGACAAAACTTTAAACACCCCCTAGTAGTTTTACACTTTTGAGGTTTCAACTTAAGTCTTGAGTTGGTGCCTCTTTGTGGTATGAGATGAGGGTCCAGCTTCATTCTGTGCATGTGAACACACAGTTTGCTGAACATCACTGATCTCAGTCCCTTCCCCATTGTACCCTGTTACCATTTTTGTTGCAGATCAGTCAACCATAGATTGGTGACCTGTCTGTTCTGATCACTATAGACTTGAAGCATATTTTGAAACCAGGTTTCTTGATGCCTCTAGTTTTATTCCTTTTG